TCTATCTATCTGTCTATCTGTCTCTCTATCTATCTATCTCTATTATTATATCTAGCACTAGCATCTGACTGCTTCATTATACTTTTGAGTATCACACTTTGGTTGTTTTTTCTTTGTTTTTTAAACATATCTCATATTGAATGTAATTTACAGTGTACATCTGCACATATAGTGGATTAAAAAGTGTAATATTTTCCTCTGAATCTAGTCTAGATAAAGCCAGATTAACCTGGCCCACTTTCCCTCTGCTTGTGGTTACGTGTTTAAATACAAATCTATTTATGTACATTTTCACACAATGCCCCTTTATAAGATAAGACAGGTAACAGTATTGGTGTGGATATTATTCTTTAATAGTGCACATTTACAAAACCAATTCCTAATCAATCAAATAAACACAAACTACAGCGCAGCCATTTGATATGCAATTTTAAATATGTCTATGTCTATGACACAGAACAGGCTGCTACATGAAAAATCTAATTTTTTCACAACAAAATATGTAAAAGTTAAGTTAAATAATCCTCCTTAAAACACCCACTTTAACACAGTCAATGCTATAATTGGTGTTGATACTAGAGGCTTTGTATCAATAACTTTAAGATCAGATCAGTCATGTTTTTTTTCTGTATAATGTGGGTCTGACACCAAAACCCTGCCTGACCCATGATGGATGCCTTTGTACATTTTGGAACAATGGTAGTTCACCACTCGCACAACATTTCACTTGCCCCACCAAGACCCTATCACTTTCCCTTATCAATACAGTGCGCTGTATTGATGAGATCAGATCCCTCAGCATCAGAGCCGAACTGCACACCAAATGGTCTCCACAGAATGTTAATGGTAATGAGTTTGTCTCTTGTCCTTTAAAACTGGACCCTGCAATTACGAGGAAGCATTGATAGGAGCAGGACAGCTGCTGTGTCAATGTAGATATTGATCCGATGTCCATAACTTATTGTGGAGAGAGATCCAACCCCCCTCCCTCCCACGGTCCTCGCCCCTCCCTCTGTGAACCTTTATTCAGCAGCAGGACCGCAGCCCAGCTGTGATGTCCAGTCAGTCAGAAAAGGGAAAAAACCACTAAGTGCTGATTCAGTCACTGCACTCTTTTATTATATCTGTGATTATAAACTATGGAGGAAACATTCAAATTACCTCAATTAACTGAATTTGAGCCAGGTGTTTTATTTAAGTGTTCATTTCCTCGGAACAAATTCAGTAAAAAAGTGATAAAAAAGGGGAATAAATCTTTGTCATCATCATGATTTTCTTCACTTTTAAACACTGGGTGCCGTCTTTTCCCTTAAGTTTTAATTTGATAACTAAGATGTAACTTTATTCAAATAACAAGTAACACAGTTTTAAAATCGTTTTTAAGAGGCCTCTCGCATTAATTATAGGATCTTATGTTGTTATCAACATGAAGAAATGAGCAAATATATCTTAATATAAAGGTCAATTATAATATTTACCCATAAGAAAATTCCCACATTAATTTCAATAATAGCCTCAAGATATTATCCAATTAATCAAAATAAAAAATCCAACCTCTTCCACCACATGCTGTGAACGGGGCTCCTCTCTTACATAACGTGAGAAAGTGAGAGCCTCATTCACGGTCAGCAGGACTTTCCCCAGGGTGTTTAATTAATCAGGAATTCAGTTTCGGCACCTGCCAATATGGAACAGTTTGTGGGTGGAGTGATGGCCAGCCTGTATGTGAACTCTGAGGCCGGATCAATGCAGTAAAAGTCATTATCAGGTTATGAATGTTGGTGAGGTTGTGGGTAAAGGGGACCGGCTGCCATTGGCCGAGGCCCGTGCCTTCCTGCTACCACACGTGCCCATCCCCACTGACCCCAGACGTGTCCAAAATGCCGGCCTGAATCCCTGTGTGACCTTTCCACTGACCCCCGTGGAGGGGAGGGGTTTTTTTAGGGTCACAACAGGGGGGTTGTGGAGAAATTAGGACTGTAGCTGTTGAGCTGAATCACACAAAAGACTCAGAGCAGAGAGATGTGGTCCTCTCCACAGACCCTGCTCCTATTAACATCTCACACTATATAAGAATGAGTGCCGACTGTAGGTCAGCAGGAACACAGGAAACAGCACAGATTCATATTTGACTACAGATAAATTAGCTTGAGTCTAACAGTTTGTCTTTTCAGCTCGGCTGTGCAGTGAAATGTAGTTTGGAATAAATCCCTCAATAAAATCCATGAAAGACAAACAACAGCTGGACCTAAAGAAGAACTGAAAGAGGAGAGCTGATGTTTCACTGCCAATATGATTCAAAACAAACCAATTGTGTTCATCAGATGTAAGTTTAAAAGTTAGGTGATGTCCCTCAGGAAGAATTCAATGTGTTTTATCTCCCCCAGCTGGAACAGTTCAGTACTACAAACACCTAATTTTTTGCAGGCCACAACGTGTGTGCTGCCACAAACAGAGACAACACATCTCTGGAATGAGACAAAGACTTTAAAAGATATTCTGAGATAATGGAAGCAAAACATCAGTAACAGGTGTAAAGAACAAAACGTCAAAGGATGTTTTATTACATAAAATCATAAATCAGTGGGAGAGGATGGAAAGAAACATTGTTTCTACATTGATGCCTCGTTAGAAACACACAAACTGGTAACTGGTAACCATCCAGTGAGTCTTTTTACTGATTAAGTGACTTTAATCTGATTATAGAATCACATGTTTTGTATATAAGGACGTGTTTCTTAATCTTAATTTACTTATTTAATAATGGGTGACTTAAATCTTCTTACAACTGCAGTAGTGTGTTATAAACAATTTATTTATTGTTTATATACCTCTCATAAATGCTAAATAAGTGGAATTAAGGTGAAGTGATACTGAGAAATGTCTGAAAATAATCAGAAATCTTTAAAAAGTGAACGCATTTGAAGTTGCAGTCAATGCCTTTACAGTATTGGGGTAAATTCATCAAATCATTGGGAAAAAAACTAATAAAAATGAAAAAATAAACGCACATAAGAAAATACTGAACACTGCAACAGTTGTACATGAGAAAGACATGGAAACACCGGATGATTGGTTTTATATTTCTTTATTTTTCAAATATATTTAATTTGGTGAGCTATAGGTCATCAAATTGGGAGTTAACAGCTACAGTTCATTCCACCTTTAAACTGTTGTATACATGTTGCATGCATGTTGTTGTTGTTGTTGTAATGCACTTATAGGTGTTATAATTAAAGTCTATAATAACAAAACTTGATATATCAGAAATAATTGTTGATCTATTCATGATTCTTAAATAGACAACAATACATGTATAACAGTACTTTCATTTAGAGATTAGAACATCAATAAACAATCACAGTCTACAATACATTACAAACGAAGGCCTCTGTATTTAACTTTAAATAGAAGTGAAAGAAGAGAATGTGCTTATTTTCAGCAATGTTCAACATGTAAACATTTAAACACATGTGCATGAAGCATAGGATCATTTTCCTGAAAGAACGATTGAAGCAGTCTGCAGGTAACAGATTGGCAAAGATTCAGACAGTTCAGAAGTAAGACTCATCGATATTAACAAAGTGCTTCACTTTATAAAAGCATAAGTATAAAATTGTGTCATCAGAGACAAGAAACCAGCCCACAATATCTTCTTTTATCAACGCCCTGTAAACATGGCAAGGTAGTGTAAACACATGTTTTACCATTCAGAAAATGTTAAAACTCACTGCTTAAGTACAGTTACTTTCCTACTAAGGTATTACAAGTGATTACTCATTTTTGAAAACAGACAATCATCTGTACACATTTTTGACAACCAGCAAAACAATTTCTAAAGTTGTACTCTTAAAAACAGAGTACTGTGCTGCAATTAGACACCCATGATGAGTAGAAGAAAACAAAATGATATCACTCATTGACAAAAGGCAACAAAACATAATATTTAACACACTGAATGCAAATTGTATGATAAAGTCAGTCTGTTGGATAACATTTTCTATAAGCTACTGGCCAGGAGATATAATGTTTATACACATTGATCTATTCCTCTGATACACAAAGAGTCAGTGTTGAACTTGAGTACGAGTGGCTACTGATTATAAATTAAAAAGGTAATATGTAGAGGTGCACCAATAACAATTATTTGTCAATTTGAGTCGCTTTTAACAGCTTGAATCAATGCTTCATCGTTTTGTAGATGGCATTATTCAATTATAGTTGTATGTACAGTATTTATGTAATAAAATCAAGTGATACTCAATTATCTCATGTCAATATGTACAATTATGCATAGTATTTCAGCACAATCTAATAATGCATGTAGTCTCTGGATCTGTGGACTACACAGATACAAACCATAGTATAATTAGTTCAGCCTGTTACTGGTCCTGGTATTGGTACATCACTACTGTATTGATTAAATGACAAACTTACTTTAAGTGTAGTTGCTCGAATATGAACTGCAGATTTTCTGCTATCTGCTGCCTTTGAGGTGCATATATTTGGGATTTGCATCAGTGTTTCTAGTATGATGGAATGAAAAATGTATTATTATGTATAGAATTTAAATGATAGGAAAAATAGAGAGTAAATATATTCACATATGTTTTATTTAGGTTGAATTGCCAAATTATCATTCAGCCCAAATGAACCTAATTTCTTTTAAAATTAGATGTTTTTGTTACACAGTATATAGCTTCGCATTCTTGCTTTGTAAACTTTAGAACACACGGAGTGATTAAATACCTCCGTCACTCCAGATTTAATGTCCTCCGCGTGTGCCTCCACAGAGGACCGAGTGAAGGTTGTGTGACCGTCCTTCATCTGTCACACAGCTGGCAGGTTAAGACCAGAGTCTGATGCACAGCTTGTTTGTTACGTCAACTTCACCACATTGTGCTGCTTTACTCTGATCGGTAAGTAATCAGTTCAGCTCTTCTACCTTCAGAAGCACTAATCCACGCCGTCAAAGCCTTGTGCATTCTCGATGGCGATGTGAAGTTTCTCCCTCAGCTCCTCAAAAGACTCATAAGGAGGCAGGTCCAGTCGATTGAAGCTTTAGGAGGTGAAATTAAAGACAATAAGAGAATAAAGGTAAAAGAAAAATCACATCAAAGCATTTAGTATTGCACCTCCATTAAGTTTAGGGACTTTCCAAAGATAGATCAACAAAATAATGGTCAAATCGTGTGCAGCCTGGATACTAAACTTCCCATTATGCAACTCAATTGCAACTTTTGCAATCTGACTTTAAGTATGACTGTATCCAGCCACTAGAGGGCTTCAACCCACTATGCTCAATTACATATTATTTTGTACTAGTCCTTTTTTGTTACTATCCATTCATTCATCCATTATCATTGCAACACAAAACCTCAGTGTAAGCTAAGATCAAAAAAGCAGAGCCCAATGTTCAGTGTCATGTGTCAATCAGGGCTGATGTACAACACTACAGTAACGACACCATATTATATTTCTTTGACAAACTCCTTTTGAAAACCCCAAATATATCATTTTTTATCCTGTATGCTCCTATTATCATTAACACTTGTGCACATAAGATAAGAAAATGTAATCTTTACCTGATCCACATTTCATTAAAATGATAATATTCGTTCCACAGAGCCGTAATAAAAGCTGAACTGAACTACAAACGTCACTGCAATGTTTAGACATGTTAGCATTTGTTTTGCTTGAGCCTTTTTAAATGTCTGCACACACTTCCAATAAACTCAGAAATGGTCTACGGTACATTGCTAACCATAACTGTGTTACATATTAACGAAAAAATTCCCAGTGCAGTGCTCACCATGTGTGGGCTCGGGGGAGTTTTTCACGTGTTCCCCACTGCTCGATGGTGAACAGCTGTGGTCCGTTAGACCCTGCAAAATAAAACCATCAAACATCAAATAAACATATACAACATGATTATAACTGGAATTCATTTACAAGGAAAAGAAGGTTAAGCCACCTGTGTACTGAGGATAAGTGTATACAGTGTAGAAGGAAAAGATGTGATGCACATTTGTATGCAAGATGAAAATAATTATTTGTGTGTGGACAGAAGAGTAGATCATTTAGGCTAAAACATTAAGGAAGAATCTACTTTTTAACAATAGTGCTGTAGGTTATCTCACCATAGAGTTCAGCAAAGCCATTCATTGGGACCCTTGATGTTCCCGTCACAAACTGCAAGAGCCGGATTCGCTTTTCTGCATCCATCAACAGCACGGTCTATAACAAACACAAACAGAAACACAAATAAATAACTAATACAATGCTCTTCTTAAAAGGAGGAAAAACATGTTGGCTCGAGGCATGGAAAGTTGTCTTACTTTCCAAAACCACTGGATAACGACGTGGTTGGAGCAGTAGCTGTTCTTGTATTTGGTGTTCTCTCTCCAGTCGTTCACATCCACATCTCCAAGACCACACATGAGCAGCTGGAGCACAAGAAGGCAGGTAGACAGAAAGTTATTCATCTTTTCTGGAATTAATCTGGTTAATTTCAGCTCATGGGACGGACAGAAAACTCACCTCGAGCTCATTCTCATCAAAGATCTTAATCAGATCTTGTGGTATCAACTCAAAGAATCCCTAAAACACAAAAACATGACAGACTTTTAGTCTTACTTTATACTTTTAATGGTGTCTACTGAAAATGCTTCAAATAAATCGTTACCTCTTTGAAGGCACTCATCTGCTTCTGTATCCTGTTCACAAACCTCCACTGCATCACCAGACTGTCAAACACAACACAGCAGATCAACATCAAACCATCAATACAACACTTCAAAGATGATGAAAAGTGTCTTTTCTTTAAGCAAGGAGCTCTGTTGCTTACTGGATGTATTCCTTCTTGTTGTCATTAGTGATGACAATTTCTGCGCCGCCCGGCTTAAGTTCATGCTGGTGAGTCTGAACAGGAAGATTGGGATAGTTTCATATGAATTACCCAGAAAACTCGCACTGGTTGCTATTTGAAAGTTGTTAAGGCAAAGAGGGCACGTTGAACAAACCTGCCCAAACAGCTCTTCGTCAATGGTGAACCTCAAATCCAGGTCTGTTGGGTCGTTCTCCAAAATCCACATCAAGGAGTTGAAATATTCACTGTCCTGAAAAGACAACACACTAATTTAACAAACTGAATGTCTTTCAGATTAGCTGTGATTGTGAAGATCCTGAATTAATTTAATTATCTGCAGTGGAACAATGACACTCACAACTGACTCCATGTCCTGGAGAGTGATCGGTTTCTGCAGCATCATCTTGTAGAAAGGCCGAATGAAGAAAGCTTTGAACAACACAAACAAAAATGTCAGGATCTATTAAAATCACACCATTTGCTCTAATCCCGTTGACTTTCTCACTGTTGTTGTTGATACCCTTTGTAAAATTTCCTGCGGCACACAATCAGGTAGCACTCACCATCGAGTAGCTTGCCGTGATACACGGCCATGCCTGCCACGCGGCCGATGAACTTGAAGTAGGGCAGGTGGTCCTCATTACATAAACCTGAGTTAGGGTTAATCTGCAGTGTGTAGTTGTCCCTGGAAGACAAAACATGAAGAGGAACTTGAAATAACTTCTCTTTTTTCTGCACAAAGATAATAGAACTTTTCAGAGTCTTTCCAGTGAGCTAACATACACAACAGCAGCACCCTGACTCTATTATCTACTATTTCATGTCAAAATGGCTGCTGTGAAAAACTATTACAGCTCTTTTAGGTATATTTTTAAGAAATGATTTGATTGTAAAGGAAATGGTCCAACTGTCACACTGTTTTCTAGACCACTTTGTAGATTTTTACCTTTTGAAGAAGATGAACTATTTGAATCTTATGTGGCCCAACACAGAGTCTGTGACTGCACAAAATGAGCAGTGATACATCATCTGCATGTCTCTGATTATTTATGAATATTTCTCTAGACTTTTCCAGACCTGTATGAGAGTCCTGGAAGCAGAACATCTGTCCTTAATGTCTTTTCATTTACTGTTTCTCAATATACGTCAGAACACCAGTACATGTTCCTCTACGTGTGACTGGACTGTGCAATACAAGACTGGTTTTGATGTCCGCTCTCATCTAAACACACCAGATCGTTTAGAGAAGGTATAAAAAGAGACTCACGTGGCAGAATACTCAAACAGTCCGTAGTACGGGTTGAACATCTCCTTAGACATGAGGAAGAACCACTCCCTGGCCAAGCCACCATAGTCCAGTGCTTTTTCTCCCTCAAACTCCACCCACAGTCGCGCCTTCAGCAGGTCTGCCCTCTTCACTGAGAGAATGCGTCGGTATGAGTCCTCCAGCACCGCATTTCGTCTCACCTTCATCTCAAAACGGTTTGGGATGTCAGCCTGCATAGAGATGTATGTATGAGAGTTTATTAAGAAGAAAGTTTACGATCATCTAAAGGTTAAACAAATACAGCATGTGTGAAAGTGAGATTGTGAAACTGATATGAGAAGTAAAGGGAACACCAGTCCTCATTAGAATAGTTTTTTCAAGTATTTGCAATCTCAGTTTCAGTTTGAGGACACTTACCGGTTTCTTTAGCTTCTTCCGGAAGTAGTCATACTTCTGTTTATAATCTCTGGAATAAGGCACTGCCTATAATCAACACAGGACAGTGTTCAGTGGCAACAAATCAATCTTAGCCTTATGACCTACACAGTTTTTTTTTTGTTTGCTAATAGAATAATCTGTCAAATACAGTTCATACTCACTGGTCCAGTTATAGCTGAGTTCTGTAATCTGGGATCATCCCATTGTGTGGTCCTGGTGTCTATGAAATATAATAAATCAGAGGTCATTAATTAATATAGAAACATATTCATCATTTAGTCCAAGCTGTATTTTTAGTAAAAATGTCATACGCACTGTGATCTATGTAGAATATCCTCCCATCAGTGTGGACCCTCTCCTCCCAACCAGGCTAGGAAGAAAGAAAATATTCTTTAACCTTGAACTAGTAAATACAAAAAGCAGCCCTATCTGCTCTGATTATACATTACAACAGACACATGAAGGCACCATATATGATTTTTGCCTGAAATCTAAAGGCTACGGTTGATAAATGTCTTGTTACTGTTACTGTTTTGTAATTGTTAAACTTACCGGCAGAGGGCCGAGATCAGATGGGTCGAGAGAGGCTCTCCTCCTCTTCTGCACAGGAATCTTTAGCCTGGGATCTTCCTGTTCAGAGAAAAACAAACAGGGTGTGTTTCTGTCAAACAGGAAATGCTTACAAAAGAAATAGTGTTGGAGATACTACTGAATGATAAGGAATCTGTTGTTATGCATATATTTTTAACCATGAAACACATTAAAAAAAGTTAACTAGGCAAATGAGAGACTTTGTTGTTGTGGATATAAAATATTGTCTTTCTAGCAGACAGCCTCTAGTGGCAATTAAAGGAAATTAACCCTCAACTGGAGGTAAAAGCTAATTTAGTTAATTTAAGTTTGCTCACCCAGGTAGTAGTCTTTGTGTTGTGGTCGATGAAAAAAGGTCTTCCATTGGGAGCACTGCGAACCTCCCAACCAGTCGGCAAGAAGCCAGATTCATATGTGGCCTCGGGGCTTGGGGTGTGCTGAGGAGACTCCTCAGGGGGGGCATGCGGTTGGGATGGAGGGGAGCTCTGGGGTAAACCTGCACCACTTTGTGTTGCTGGTGCTACTGGTGCTACTGGTGCCTCTGAGGTTTTCTGTCCAACAAAAAATATAATATTGAGAAGTGTTAGTGTTAAACAAATTACTACATTTGACTTGGTTTTAGATCAATACAGAACACGTGTAAGTATACATATATTTCTTTCCTATCAATAACAATAAAAAATCTATTTTTTTTACCTGAATGAGGGGTCGTGTCCATGAAGTTGTTCGGCTGTTGTGGTTGACATAGTAGCGTCTTCCTTTACTGTCTCGCTTCTCCTCCCAGCCTGCAGGCAGCCCAGCTGCGGTTGGAAGCAGCTATTGAATGACATTGAATGACAATTGAATTCAGTGCTCAATACTGAAAACCTCAACCTCCTTACACATAACACATCACTAAAACTATTTCCTAACATCCACAGCACAGGAACTGACATAAGTTGTGGTGTATACCTGTGAATCTCAAACACTGACATCTGTTGCTATACAGAAACACTGTGATGCAAGACAGGTTTGGTAAAATGCAGGAGAGACTGATTTCAACAGTGACTGTAATACTTACCACAGGATTAACGGGATGTTCCTCTCCTGTTGAAGTCCGGGCACTTCCTCTGAGACTGGAATGGCTTAAATTACTATGATGATCCTGCATCAGAAAGGAAGGATGTCAAAGACAATGATCACTTGGCCATTAATGTGTATATATTTTCCAACTCTCTCTCTCTCTCTCTCCCCCTCTCTCTCGCTGAAAGCCCGTGGTTCATATTAATCTCATTATGTGTCTCTCTTTCTCTGACTTTCGGTAACTAGAACCTTATGCAGCACAGAAAATGACTCACTGTCTGGGAGGTGTGCAGCTCGCCAGCTGTGGCCCCTGAAATGTGAATGTTTCTCAACTCGTCGCAGAACGAGTGGAACTCGGGCACGGGGGTGCGGGGTGGAGGTGATGCGAGCTGGTTGTTGTTGTTGTGGTAAGATGTAGACTCGTCCTCTGTAATGATCTCCCAGCTCTAAAAAGATGAGACAGAACAGACTCATCAAGAACACACCATTATCCAAGGTTAGACCCAACAAATACTGCTCTTCCAAATTGCTCAGTTTAAATATACAGTGTAAGCCACTGAGAGTTTAGTTTGTTTAGAGTAAATGAAAGTGTTTATGCCAAAGCCCTCAGAGGACAGAGCCAGAGCTACGCTGCTGCAACCACCACTGCCACATCTGGCTGCAACATGGGATCTACACAGCTATAAGGAAAAACATCCCCCATCCTTTTACGTGCATCCCTCCCAAATTCGCCTAAACAGCATTTTTAAAAACTGTGTTGTGGACAGGCTCTTAAATCTGTATTACCTTTTGGCCACTTGGGGCAGTGAGAACAAGCTGTGAACACAACACTGACAAATCATCATCTTTAAAGTGTATATGTTGAACAAACAGGCGATACAGAGCAACATTACATTTTACTTAGTTGTGTTTCTGCCCACCTGATCAAGTCCAATATTCACTCTCTTTTAACTCTGTTTTTGGTCTCTACCAACTCCTGAGGGAAATATGTGGCTCTTTAGCAGCTAAATGCTCCAGTATGTTTACCAGCTAGTTGGTAACTGTGTTTGTCTGTTGTGTGGCACTATGCAGATGATGAGTGAACAGTGGGATTTAAGACCTTCTTCACTGACGACAGCTGACCGCAGCCAAAACCAACGCAGTGCGAGCTGTGAGACTACACCAAAACACTTCAATTGTGGGCTGAAAAATAAGCTGAAAGGTAATAAAAACTAGATAAAAAGAGTTAAGAGCTTTGTAATTTGCAAACACTTAACTCTCTGATTTTGGATTTAAACATGTTTTGTTTCCTGAAAGTAAATACACTTTTAGTATTTTAAAACTCATAATCTATTCTCCCAAACAAAAAGAAAAAATTCAGGTAGGTCTAGTCAGTCCACAGTAACGCAAGCAGGACACAGTAAAGGGCATATGCAAATTTGTTCAAAAAAGTTCAAATTACCTCAGGAGACTCTCGTGTGGTGTTGTTTTCATCTGGGTCTGAGATCTGTCTGCGTGTATTAAGAGCATGCTCCACCTCTGTATTATTGTTCTGTCTTCTTTGTATTTCCACATCACTGTCCCTGTTGAGGACACACACACACACACAC